GCTCAATGGGTCGCCGAGGTACACAAACCGCCACACCACGATAAGGTCCAGTCTCTTCGTGACGGTCTCAGAGTACATAAAAAAGACGGATTTAGGAGGTCCACTGGAACCATGATATGGAGATTCATAACACCGTCACGTATCACCTCTGATATGAACTGTGGGAACTGTGATATCGTCAAAAATTCTCTGTTGGGAAATCACCTCTCAAGTATTGCCAACAGCAGGGACGAATATCGGGGGAAAAATACCCTACGTCAGATGAGCAACGGGATACGAAAATGATAGCATGGCCTTTATTGCACACGCCAAAGGTGTACAAGTGTGATGAAAAAATAATACAGCACTAAATCTGTAGCACGTCACTTAATCAAACATAATAACGCTGTGGTTGCTGACAAACACACAACGGAGTTCGATAGTGAGTCATGAAAATACACCAAATCGTGTTGAGTAAAGATAACAGTTATGTGAGCAGTACCGCGGTGTGACAGGGTCGAATAGACGAAATAAAATCATCCCAGTTGTTGGCGACCCTGATTGCGTCTAGAAATTGCCAAAAGCAGTATCTGTGATAAGCAACATCCCATTTAGTCTTCCATTCCTGGGGGCGATTAAACATACGGAGGAGCAGAGTCGCATCGCACTGCACTGGCGTCAGTCAGACGGTATGTGACAGAATGGACAAAGAATGGCACGAGTTGGGCCATAGGACATCCCAAACTCCAGGAAAAGTCCGAGAACACAAGGAGATGCAGTCCGTGAGAACATGACCAGTTTAAGGAAAATCCCATCTTTCATCATCCCAAATTGCCTTCTCAGCTTTCTTACGCCGTTCGTGTTGAGCTGTTGGTATGGGGGGTGTGGGGTTGGGGAAGGAATGAGTCAGTGGGTGAAAACAAAAACTTACGGAGCAGGTAAGACACACAAAGCGGTACCCCTGTTCTGAAAGCCAGGGCTAGGGAGCCTACCGTCCACGAACCTAACGGTAAGATGTTTCACCAGAGCCGTCCGATTACAGAAAAAACGAGGAATCCAACGTGAACATGAGGTCACACGCCAGCATTTTGTTTGCCAAGCTATACGAGGGTTCCGAAAAGATGTGCATGAATTGATACAAGAGCAGGATACACAATACATGCTGGTGGCGTATCAGAGTGACTGTTATGTTGCTGTTGTTGGAAGCCAGGAAAGCTTGACTTAACAGGTGTGGGATCTGGAACCCAAAATTACAGCTGGAATCGCTTGGAGGCAATAAATTCGCATGGCTAATCAGGAAACGGGTGTTTGACAGGGCGGCAAGTACTTCAATTCAGGAGTGCATCCAGTACCGTCGGGTTACTACGACTCGGTTATGTGCTACCCATGTCGAGGAAGGCATACCTAATTCGCAGTGGCGGGAAAAATATGATCTGGCAGATAGGAATGGAGGGCACAATCCACATCCCATTGGCCCAAAAGAGATATTGAAAAAGGCAGTTTTCATTGTGTTATTTTCGATTGGAGTATCTGACTGGGTTTTAGATATAAAGAGACCTTGGATGTCTGTGCCAGACTGACATTAGGTCTCTCTCTTTACCTATCATAAAGCATAAAGTAAATGTTCGGGAGTGAACTGCCAGTGTCTCAAGCTAGTACTGCTGTCAATCATAGCCATGATGAAGATGCAGAAAACAAGACTAATCAAATAGAAAATTGAATGCTATAGTTAGTGCGGCAGGTTGGACTTCGAAGGCAAGATCTTCGGATATCAGAAGAGCCGCTGTCAATACCATCATCACCTATGCGTGCAAAAATATTGAGAAAATCCGTCCAAATGCTAGTCCTAGATCGAACTCGGATGAATTAAAGAAGGGTGTACTGTGCGCGGCAGCATCAAGCGTGAGACATTTATGCCCTATTCCCTGCGCTCTCTAGTTAGACCAACCACGTGGAGCGGAGCAGGTCAAACTATTGAGTCATCGGCTCCGGGTAGGGGCCCCAGAGAAAGCCCTATTGCCTGCTGCTTCGTGGGAGGACTTTTGGGTCTGAGGAAGAACTTAAATTATGAAGCAGGGAAAATACTTGCTAGTTGTCCGGGTCCTCTGTGGAGCGGACAGGTCAAACTATTGAGTCATCGGCTCCGGGTAGGGGCCCCAGAGAAAGCCCTATTGCCTGCTGCTTCGTGGGAGGACTTTTGGGTCTGAGGAAGAACTTAAATTATGAAGCAGGGAAAATACTTGCTAGTTGTCCGGGTCCTCTATCTCAAGGAAAGTTTGTGAAAATAGCTGACCAACATAAACAGTTGGAATTGTAAGCATGTCAGGGAGTAAACGTTGAAAAAGGTGATCACGATGGAAAATGCACCGGGGTCCTCAGGAAGGTTCGAGCTGACGATGTAACAAAACCGTGTGATGTCCACGAAACGAAAACGATATATGTATGAACTAGGCAACGCTTGTCAAAATCCGAACTGGCAACACGGAGTCTAGTTTGTAAAGTAAATGCTGGTTGTGGCATTGCAAATACAAAAAACAAACATCAATAAGAGTATGCAATGCTATTCACGAAAGGCTACAGCCATTGGCTGTAGGAAAGGACAGGCAACTGATTTGACGTAGAAACCGCAACGACACTCAACTCGGACGATAGTACAACGCAAATATCTCTCGCCGCCCACAGAAAAAAAACGAAAGGCTCACGTTCCATCAGTCAGTTCATACCAACAGTATTCTTCCGGACAGTTTTGCCGGCCATAGCTGTGTGGGAAAACTGCCGCAACCACCAATATGGAGGCCCGCCCGCAACACACAACAGTTCCTAGAATGGGATGATTTTCTTCTGGTCGCGAAGGGTGACATTCTACTCAAATTTGTTGGCTAAACTAGATTTTATAGACGTTTACCGCCAACATATGTGAAACTCTCGTCCAAAAAACAATGTTCGCTTGAAACGACCTTCGTCATCCGTACCAGTTTCTCCCAACCCAAAGGTTTTGTCTGCGATGGTCTGTGGATTGGCCTGTAAAAACATCATACAGGCCCAGGGTCCTCAGCTATATAGGGTAACGACAAGAAGATTATGTGGATTGGCCTGGGTCCAGGGTCCTCAGCTATATAGGGTAACGACACCCGAAGAAGATAACTTACCACGAGCTTCCTGCAAGGCCTCTTTGTCACGTTTTTCCTTCTCTAACTCCTGTGGACTCTTAGGATTTGTCGACCGTAAACTCAAGTGCCCAAGTATTAGCCGATGAGCAGTGCTGGAACTGGTTGGTGGACGCTTTTTGTAGGGCATTGCCCAATCGCCGGGTGATTTAGCGAGTTTGAGTTTGCTTTCCAATGAAGCGTCTTTAAACTGGCGTGCCTGCAGGTAAAATTGGAATGCAGTGGGGAAATTCAGAATCTCACGAAACACACCGATTCGATATCATCGGGAATAAGTGAGTATCGGACAGAGGGGGCCAAAATTCCTCTTTGTTACAAATAACTGGTTACTGAGTCTCCACAAGTCACATCAAATGGAGATTTTCACTTGAATGACCTCACAACAAAAAATTTAAGTCGCAACTGATCTCCCTATGACTCCGGTGAAAAAATGCTCGTGGCTAGGGGAAAATGTAATTTGAGTCTCCTAAGTATATCCAAGCTTAAGGCATGACATTCAATCACCGAGGGAAGCGACCGATGCACACAACCGCTTATACCACCATCACATCGCTTCAACAATCAGAACTCAGTCCGTCGTTTTACTGCGCCTATTAATGTTCCCAAGAGTTTATCATGCGAACACTTAGTAATCCTTCGAGAGTTTAAAAAGTTCAAAAGATCAGGTTTCAGTAACTCAGCGTATGGCGATCTCTCTATCAGGACTCTGCAGATTGTGAACTCCAGGTGACTGCTCAACTGCTACAACTAGTTACGTCTCAGCTCTCGAGCTAAGGCTCCTTTGATCTCACGGCAGCTCGGTGCTCCAGGTGCGAAATTAGTAAACCCAAGTCCGGCATCTCAAATGATCCTGTCTAGGATTAGGAACTCGGCAATATCTCAACCCTCCTGCTTCATTCGGGTAGCGTAGCAGCTAGGCACCAAAAGCGTGTACATTTGAACAATTCATTCATAAAATATTATTTAGGTGCCCTTGGGTACTCGTAAATGTTGGCGGTGCCATTTGTCTGTCCTGTCCATTTCTATTTTGTAGTTTCCATTTATGCAGGAAATAACACTATGTGATCATTTTGTATCCCACGGGCCTAATCTATCCTATATGAATGGCGAAAAGACCGTTTCCATGAAGCCAGCCCGAAAACTGAATCGTTTCAGTGCGAATGCTACCGGATTTTCTTATTGTTATTTATTTTTGTCGGAAAATGACCCTCTCGCACTCATCAAGGGACGCGTAAATGAAATGTAGGCGCTAGAGGTAGCAATGCACACATGAGACACTGTAATTCAGCTTAGGTAAGATGTGATAACCTGCTAAGATTGGATGCAAGGCGGAACGATAATGGTGAACGTGGTACACAGCCGTAGGCTAGCAATCAACTGACTATCCGAAGTCCTCACAACTATGAACAGCGGTAGTAAACGAAGGACCTAATAATAATGGTGTCAAGTTGACGATAGTGCCATCAGCTATCAATAGCGAAGCTCCGTACTCTACTCCCAACCATTTTGCAACACATTTTCGTTCAGCTCACGTCTTCGCCCGCCATAGATTTTTACTGAATTCAGCGGACAAATCCAGCAACAAATTCTGTTTTGCAACAAAATATTCCTCCGAAACATAGGCTAGGCAAACCGATCGAAAATTCGCCATGTGATGCATTAAAAGTAGCCTTATCAAATACACTATGTGCAACCTGTTACAGATGGCGATATGTAAGAATGATGTCGGGAAATCAGCGTGTGATGCCTCTGAGCAGGCATTCACTAACCACTAGATCTCAACCGCAAGTGTCATTTTCCTGACACAAGATGTTGCACGACTTCGGGACCGGAGCGCAATGCAACTAGGCGGTCTGATGAACACCATCTCACATATAAAGGCGCTTGATCCCGAAACCTCGAAGAATTGAGGAGGCTAATGCAGCAAGGAATATGCAGTCTGCTCCGGCTAGCCCGCGAAACACCACACCACACACACACACTACCGCGACACAACAAGAACAATTACTCAAATCTAGCGGAACGTCTTCAACAACGTTTGGCTGGCCACTGTCTACTGCACCCATGTCTTCCATCCGACCCGCTCAACTAGAGCTGTGTTCTGACATATTAGATACTCAATCAGTTCATGTCTTCCCGTCTGAACGTAGTGGAGAGCTACAATATATTGCAGAAAACTGAGGCCAATCAGTCACCATAACTCTTCACAAGAGTACGTGGAACGAATGTTACAAGCACACCGTAGATGCACAAGCGCCATACCTGATACTGATTCCAGTGATATTGCGACACCTAACTTTCGCTTGTAAGACTCGAATCCGGGAGCATTAGGTAGAATTTCATTCGAGTAGGGAGCACACTGCGTCACATAGCTAAGTAGTGGTAGTAACTGCGATTTTCCGCAAACAGCCCGATCAAGTACGGCGAACCCCTGTGCTGTGAGTAATCGTATTACGGGGTGGTCTAGGGGCGCGACAGGAATGTGAGGCATTTCCTACAGGTGTTCAGCATGTCCACGTCTATGGAAGCAGCGATGTTGTCTTCCCACAAATACTTCGAAATACTTTCGAAACCAGATAGTCTGATGTTGATCAAAATGCACCTGTGTACAGCTGAATTAGGAGACAGATAGTAGTGCACTATTCGCTGTGTCCTCGAGACAAGACAGCCCTCCGCATCCAGATGGATCAGACTGCTGAGTCGTTGACAACCTTATATTTGCGCCTCAACTATACCAGCTACCACCTCCAATACGCAGCTACCTAAACGACCCCTCCTCCCAAATCAACGGTGAACGGACTGTGGCAACTAAAATCACTGTAGGACAAATACACTGTTGTTACAGCTAATGAAAATTGCACGTAAATTGGCGATCAGGCCGCTACTGCTTAGTTGAACTACCTGCTCTGCGCTTGTCTGTCGTTATATATCTGAATGTCTCTGGGATGTTAGCAAAGGGGGCTGGATCAATAAGGCGGATAATGTCCCACTGCAATATATCCAGGGGAGTTTAGTTCGGTGCTGTTTCCAGCTTTGGACATCTTGTGGACATTTTACTAGAACACGCTTACGTATAACAGATGGCTAAACTTTAAAAAGGGATACAAAACCAACAGCCAAATTTTAGTGGAAGCAAATCCGGCTAAACGAATAAAAATAACTCCGACATACTTCAACCAGTAATCCAGATATTTGCGAGAGAGCGCGGTCAGCTTCGGATTTTGAAGAGAACACGGCAAGACAATGGGTGTCGTCCACCCACTTTAAATAGAACCCACTGTCTTCGAAACCTGCCAACTCGGCTTGAAGGTCGGCGGAGCTAAGTTCCTTACGAAAATTGTATAATTCCAGTACGTGACCGAAATTCTTATAGTCAATCGCCGGCTCACGACTGCCTTTTGCTGGAGTGATGACAGGAGATCGACCATTCGTCACTGTACCACCATGTTTATTGGTAACGTCCTCTTGATCCTGTGAACCACCAGAGATAGAGAGTGCCTTCAATAACGTCTGGATACTTTCGGCATCACCAGAAGCTTTTCTCGATGGCTCCTTGCATGAAATATTTCTTATTTCATCGCTCTTCATAACCGACTGGCGAGGACTGTCAGTACTTGTTCTGAGAGGTGGAGGTCTGTACAAAGCTTTATCTGGTTTCCTATCCGGTAGCATTCGTTCAGAACGGCTTGGAGCCTGTAGAGGAAAAAAATTCAGTTTAAGGTCTGCATTTAATTATATA